GATTGTTTTGAACCGTTCTAGAACCGTCCTTTTTTCGAACCCGAAAAGAGCTTTTATGAGAGAATTTCATGAATCAAAAATTTAAATTTTTTGTCAAAAAATGTTAAAACACCAGTGTCGCGCCAATTATCGCGTGAAGCCTAATTCTCACTTGCGCGAGATTCGCTCTTTTTTGACATTGCTTCAATAATTTGACGTTTGATACACGCATAAAACGTAAATCAACAATCAAAACATGTCAGTTTATTGTTGGAATGTCAGTTTTGACAGATGTATGAAATTCTAAATGTCGAGTGCAATGGAAATTGTCGATAATTTTTGGAAAATTTGCCCGGATGCATTTTTAGTTAAAAAGGAGCACCAGTGCTTTTTCAGTGCCCATTTCTGTCAAAAACGCATGAGTGCAAATTTGTCAAAAATTGAAAATATATTTCCATTGCACGAGTTGTACAGGGTGGCCCGTTTAAGAGGGGCCTATACCTTATCTCGAAATCTACGAGGGCTGCAAAAAAAAATTAAATACAAAAGTTGTTTCTAATAAAATTATCTAAATTTTTTTTGCATTGTTTTTGTTGTTACTCTACTATATACAGGGTGGAGAGATAAAATTTAATTTTTTTTAATGAAACACCCTATATATTTCAAAACACTTTCATATAGCCCTTTGAAAGACAAATCCAATGATATACTTGACATGTGTCTGTGATAAACCGTTTCGAACTTATTAGCGATAATCTTCAGGATCTGGGGTAATTTCAAACAGGCATTATTACGTTACTCATAAACTTTTAAAACTTTTTTTTGCATGCTATTTTTCATAAAATAATGCTCTTCTTTAGACTATTTTGAAATTTGGAATATTTGTTCAAAAAACGCCGTGTTGCCACGTTTCGCAAAATGTTACGCTTTTCAATTTTTTTAAATGGGACCTCCTGTAAATTTTCGAATTTTTGGATAGCCCTTTAAAATACAAATTCAACGATATACTGGAAATGGGTTTGTGATGCACCGTTTCGGCCTTATTGGCGATTATCTTCAGTTCTAGCACCATATTTTATGTCATCCCTGTTGAATAAAGAAAATGTCTAATTTTGCAGTAGATTAGCTGAAATAGTGCTCTTTATTATTATTATTCATTCAGAAGTAGTTAAGAAAAGACGTTTAAGTTTTTGTTTTCATTAGTTTCTCGCCTTAATAATGGGGAGAAACTTTGACTACTCTTTGAACAAATGATAATAAAAAAATATTTCGCAAATTATTTAATAATACCTACTGCAATAAACTATAGTTGCAGTAAACAAGGAAAGCATTGAATTATAAAGTCCAAAATAAAGGTTACTGATTAAGATTATATGAACAAACATTTTGAGAACTTCAACTTCAGGCTAACTATAAAATTAATTTAATTAAATTCTCTGTGTCCGCCATTTTCAACAATACAGGTAATATATCTTACTTGTAAATGTGTTATCGCATTTAACACGTAATTAGGTTGATCTGACAAATATAGCAACAGAGCGTCACGTTTCATTTTTTGTTTTTATCCAAATTTCTCGCCTTTTTTATTTTAATAATGGGGAGAAACTTTGACTACTTTTTGAATAAATAATAATAATAAAAAGCACTATTTCAGCTAATCTAATGCAAAATTGGACATTGTTTTTTATTCATCAGGGATGACATGAAATATTGTGCTAGAACTGAAGATAATCGCCAATCAGGCCAAAATGGGTGCATCACAGACCCATGTCCAGTATATCGTTGAATTTGTATTTTAAAAGGCTATCCAAAAATTCGAAAATTTACAGGATGTCCCATTTAAAAAAAATTGAAAAGCGTAACATTTTGCTAAATTTCAGTATAGTCTAAAAAAGAGCATCATTTTATAAAAAATATCACGCAAAAAAAAAGTTTCAAAAGTTTATGAGTAACGTAACAATGCCTCTTCAAAATTACCCTGAATCCCTGAAGATAATCGCTAATAAGTTCGAAACGGTTTATCACAGACACATGTCCAGTATATCGTTGGATTTGTCTTTCAAAGGGTTATGTAAAAGTGTATTACGATATAGGGTGTTCCATTTAAAAAAATTAAATTTTATCTCTCCACCCTGTATATAGTACAGTAACAACAAAAACAATGAAAAAAAAAATGTAGATAATTTTATTAGAAACAACTTTTGTATTTAATTTTTTTTTGCAACCCTTGTAGATTTCGAGATAAGGTATAGGCCCCTCTTAAACGGGCCACCCTGTACAGTGTTTCCGCTTCAGTTCGCAACATATGGGAAACTTTTTTATAATCAATTTTACAAAAAAAAGTTATTGTTTATGAAAGTTTCTGCTTCTTGAAAAAATATATAGTATTAAACTATTAAAACTTAGAATAGCATGTACCGGGTGTTTTTTATCTTTGATATCATTTTGATCACCTGTAACTTTTTTGTTTTCAAAGATATCAAGGTAAACAAAAAAACAAAATGTAGGATTAATAGCCAAGTTTTTTTTCAAGTTACACATGAAACAAAACATCAAAACACTATCAATTTTTCGACATATAAGCCTACATTATATTTTTTTTATTTTGGTTTCATATCGAAGTCTTTTCGACACTAAAAGTAGTTTCGAAAAGAAGCTCTTTGTGACACTCCTTTTTCACTTATCGGAAGTTGGTAACACTGGCTGACTGATGGCCATCGCACTGTCATTCTCGATTTTATAGAAGATTTAGGGCGAGTATTATAAAACTGCTTTGACAGTTAACTTAAAGTTAACTTTTTGAATTACATGTAATTTCAAAAATTAACTTTAAGTTAACTCTCAAAGTAGTTTTATAATACCCGCCCTTAATTCTATATTTGGCATGTAATGTTACCAACCTAAACATGAAATCAGGAAATATGAGAAGAAAATTTCCAAGAAAAATTTGTTTTTTTTTAATTAAACAATACCAGAATAGAAAAAATAGTATAAAATATTCGTTTCATAAGACATTTTATCGCACTCGTCCTTTAAAAATCTCGCCTCCGGCTCGTTTTCTAATATAGGGCTCATGCGATAAAATCACGTCTTATGAAGCTTGTATTTTAATAAACTATTTTTAAATGGAACACCCGGTATATTATATGTGTGTACGTTAGAGCATATTATTCTGATTACAATGATATAACACACTTCATATTTTGTTCCACTCGTTTTTGACAAATCGGCAAAAATATATGAAATTTTTATATGCTCTCAATAATTTTCGTCCCAAATATCAGACCGCGCCGCCTAATAAGTTTCACTTCGAAAGTTTCATATTTTTGCCGATTTGTCAAAAACGAGTGGACCAAAATATGAAGTGTGCTATATCATTGTAATCAGAATAAGATATTATATCGAACACATATATAATATACAGGGTGTTCCATTTGAAAAAATATAATGTAGGCTTATATGTCAAAAAGTTGATAGTGTTTTGTTTTACGTGTAATTTGAAAACTTGACACTTGGCTACTAACCCTACATTTTGTTTTTTTGTTTACCTTGATAACTTCAAAAACAAAAAAGTTACAGGTGATCAGAATGATATCGAAGATAAAAAAACACCCGGTACAGGGGGATTAAAAAATAGGAAAATATGCAGGGTTTTTTGGTAAAAGTAGGAAAAAAATGGCACATCACTATTTTTTTAAACCTTTGATATTTTTTTCAGATTAAGCAAGTCATATTTCAGTCAAAAGAAACCTTTCGTTATCACAAATCAACCTGCCAAATTTAAAAAAAAAAAAAAAATGGAAAAATTTTTGAGCTGAAAAAACGATTTTTTCTAAAACTTTGACACCCTGTATCTCAGAAACTACGCATTTCTGGTCACATATTTATGGGAACTTTTTTTGTTAAAATATCGTAAGGAATGACATCCTGAAGTTACGGACCGTACTTAGGAAATACCCTGTATATTTTTCTATTTTTTGACCACCCTGTACATGCTATTTCAACTTTTAATACATAGTTTGATATTATTTTTTCAAAAAGCAGAAACTCTTATAAAGGATAACTTTTTTTCGTAAAATTGATAATAAAAAAGTTTCCCATGTGCTGCGAACTTAAGTGGATACACTGTATTTTATGAGAAAATTTCATGAATCAAAAATTAAAATTTTTTGTCAAAACACCAGTTCTCGCATTAGTTACTATGCAATAATTTACACTAATATAAATTATCACGTAATTCCAATCTGATTGGTTCAAATCAACAATCAAAACATGTCAGTTTATTGTTGGTATATCAGTTTTGACAAATGTATGAAATTCTTATCAAAAAAACGGCCACTAAAATCAAAAATCGACGTATCCGAGATTTTTTGAAAAAAAAATCAACCTTGTATTTTTGATGGATTTTATTCCTAACCTTCACGTACTAACTGTATTTAACTATGCTATATGATATCCTCTTTCGTTTATTGAATTCTAGTAAAGTTATCTTTGTTCGTTTTGAGTTCATTATGAAATATATTCACCATAATTATTTACACAAACTAATAACTGGCCTTGCAGTCCTCTCGCGTCGTGTAATTTTTACTTACCCCGGTGCGAAATTAAATCCGCCAGAGGCAGCACGTCGCTGCAGCCAAAATTTTTGAATTTCCGTGTTTGCAGGGCTTACAATTTGAGACGAGATCTCAAAAACTACTTAATATTTTTGAGTGAATCAAGAAGATTCGAAAAGATAATAAAATTTAGAACAATGCTCTTGTTTCATTTTTTTTTAAAAAGCGATGGGTTTGGATGTACCGAGCGATAGAAATGATGCTTTTTTTTCGAGTATTTAGATCGTGATATTTTCAATTTGCAATTTTTTTTTCGAAAAACTAAAACAACAGCATTATTCTTTGGATTTTTATCTTTTATTATTTTCTAATCCGGTCAAAAAATATTACAAAATAAGTGAGTTCTCGTCTCAGGAAATTAACCCTTTTTCTCAATTTTTAACGGCTTGTTGTTGGCCTCTTAAAGGCAAATCTAAACAGTGTTTCTTGGGAATAAAATAAGTTTAAAGGAGGAGGCACTTTTCTTATGGCAAATGGATCTCCGACAGATTTTTCCAAAATTTGGATATAATGTAGTTTTTAAGTCTCTGATTAAAAGCTATCATTGGCCGAACCTTGTGCGGTTGATAGTTTAGCCTCCAGAGGACGCCAAAGTTTCTTATAACTTCGCACTATAATATAACTTCGTGTTATTATAATAATTTAGGATTATCATGAATATGTGCCACGTAAGATGTTTTATCGTTTTTGTTGAAGGCTCTAGAAAAACTGCTTGAGCTCCACATTCGGGGTGGTGCATTGGCTACCAGACCAATACATCCGGACCAATATGCTCACAAAACAGGAATCTCAACTGAAACAGCACTACATCACCTCGTCTAGCGGGTAGAAAATACATTGGAAGAAGAGGGAGCGTTTGACAACATACATGCAGCAGATGGATAGACTGCATATTTCGAGGTAGAGGCATCCACTACACGCTCCTAGGTAAAACAGTAACGGCTCGGGTTGCAAAGGGATGTCCGCAAGGCGGAGTGTTATCACCCTTGCTGTGGAATCTGGTGATGGATGCGCTGATAGAGCTACTGAAGAGTAACAACCACCTGAACAACCATCAGGTATTGGGATATGCAGATGACTTGGTCATAATATTCCAGGAAAAATTCAACCACATAGTTAGAGATCGCATGCGGCAGGCTCTAACAATGGTCTCTAGGTGGACAGAGTTCCACTGTAGGGTTGAAAATTAGTGCCATCAAATCGACAATTTTCCCCTTTACCAAAAGAAGGAAAACGAAGGGGCTTGGACTTCTTTACTTTCAGGGAAGCCCAGTTACGATGTCGGACGAAGTAAAATATCTTGAGGTAATCATAGACTCAAAATTAACTAGGAACAACATCTGGACAAAGTAATTAAAAGGTCAGAACTAGTACTTATACTAGCTAGGAGAACTTTCGGAAAAACCTAGGGTTGCGGTCGGACATGATGCACAGGCTATACACAACGATTGTAGAGCCAGCAATAATCTATACGTCTTTGATACGGTGGACGAAGACATAACAGGACAGAGCCAGAATGAGACTTGGCAAGGTGCAAAGCACACCAACAGCAGTTGTGGAAGTCCTACTAGACCTACCTCCGCTGCACATTCTGATTCAGCTGGAAGCTAGGAATGCTAGGATGGGCCTCCACAAACAGCGAAACAACCTGAGCAAACTAAGTCAGATCAGGCCACACACAAATAAGGGAAGTCATAAATCTGACAGTATTTGACATGATAACTGACTATGTAGTTCCCAAATACTCACTAACATATCGTTCCAAATCCTAATTAGTGGAAGGGAGGAATGGGAAAACTAACACACACTCTTCAATCTCAGAGGCCAGATCTGGTACTCGGACGGGTCAAAGACTGAGAATGGCACAGGCGCAGGAATCTACAGTCAAGAAGGAAGATGCGAGACCTTCGTCTCTCTAGGGTCATATACATATGGTTTCTAGGGAGAGGTATCTGCAATACTACAATTTGCAAGAATCAACAATATGAGGGCCTGCAAAGACAGGAGACCCACTTTACTCACAGACAGTCAGACAACGCTGGGGGCATTGAAGAACCCTAAGGTAAACACTACACTGATATTAGAATGCCGAGAAGAACTCAACAACTTGGCGTACCAAAATAACGTCACATTGATGTGGCTGCCAGGATACCTACCGGGCAACGAAAAGGCTGACGAACTTGCACGCAGGGGGTCATCCACAGAATACCTTGGTCCCGACCGAACCAGCTCTCGGAGTGCCCAAAAGCACAGTAAGAAAGGAGCTGAAGGAATAGATCAAAGCAAAACATGGTCAATATTGGAAGCAAATACCCAAGCATGCACATGGGAAAATGTTCATACGTGAGACATGCAGCAAAAGAGTAAAAAGACTGCTACAACTAAGCGGGTATCAACTCAGAGTAGCAACCGACTTTCTAACTGGGCATGCTCCAGTAAAGATGCACCTGCAAACAATGGGCTTGTATAACAAAGACACGAGCTGCAGACTATGCGAAACAGAGACTGAAACAGCCCAACATATTATATCAGAATGCGATGCACTAATTCGCAGAAGACAAAATATATTTGGAGAAGATGAACTAGATCCAGACACATACGGCAAACATTCAACAGACCTACTTTGCCTACTGCAGGGAACCAGGGTTTTGGAATGGGTGCAGTAAACAGGAACATTCAGCAAAATAAGCCTCTGGCTGCAGCGCTACTCGGAGTTTAATCAGACGACTACTCCACCAGAAAAAAAGATGTTTTGTATAAATATCGCAAAAGTAACGACCAAATATTATTAAAAGTGATTTTTCAGACACCTAATTCCTTATTTCTGTGAGCGGAAGTTACCCAATTACACCCAAGTTACATTAGTTATATGATGGGTTATATGAAACTTTGGCGCCCTCTGGAGGCTAAACTATCAACCGCACGAGGTTCGGCCAATGATGACTTTTAATCAGAGTTCGAAAAACTACAATATATCCAAAATTCAGGAAAATCTGTCGGAGATCCATTTTCCATAAGAGAAGTGCCTCGTCCTTTAATTTAATTTTCACAAAAATATTCTGAACCAAGTACATTTTGAGGATTGCTAGCTTAACATTAAGCTTCACATAAATTCACCTTCAACATACATAAGAAGATTCAATCAGTATACAGAGTGTACCATTTAAAACGAAACAGGCTAAATATCTAATATCACGTTTATTTTTAAAAAAATCGCTCGTATACGTAATTTGATTTTCAAACAATTTCTGCAACAATTTTTAGCACTTCAACTTTAACCCTCTCGGCGGGGTAGGACCAACCCTTAGGGCCGGTTTATCAATAGAGGGTTACCCCATGAGTTACGGATAACCTTGGGTCAAAGTTGTGACAAGTGTTTATCCATCCAGGGTCAACTAACTCGAAAGTTATTCCAGGAAAAAGTTAACCCGCGCTCTCACGGCAAGTTAGCGTAGTTGACCCTGGGTTAAACTCAACATTTTCTCTTATTTTCTATCTGATTTTGTTGAAAAAGTGCTGGTTTTGTCTTAAATTTTGATATTGTGAAGAGATGGACGACCTAGATTTAAGTGATGATGATCGAGATGTTTTAGAATTTCTAGAACATGCATTAGCGGTGCCTCTAGCACAGGCACGTAAGGTTTCGGTCAAATCCCTTTGCGGATTTTGATGACTTCTTCACACGTTTTCGCTTGCGTAAAAAAACAATTATTTTATTTATTCTGGAACAAATGAAGCATAGACTTGACTTGAATTCCCAACAAACCTATATTTGTTGAGAATTCGAGTATATTGTTTATTTCCGCTTGTGGGTATTCACTAGGGTTTCCATACGTCCGGACTTACCCGGACATGTTTGGGTTTTCAGGGTTTTCGGGAAAGTCCGGCCGGAATTCGGAACAATGTCCGGAAAACACGGAGATCGTGAAAACACTCATACTCAGTTTACGCACTATCCAAAAGACGTAAAATTTTACTTCACGCATTAGTACGTAAACAGGCTTGTTCTAAGAAAATTTTCAAGTGTGCATTTAACCAATGGAAAATTGTGCATATTCGTTTGAGATTGTGCACATGCTTAAAAATGACGTAAATGACGTAATTAATAGCCCCATATCTTGGGTTTTACAGAAACAGTGGCCGAGTTCGTTTTTGTCATCTTTTTCGTCGATTTGCTTCGAAATTTTGACAGGCACGTGATTTGTAAATTGAAACTGTCTTATCCAGTCACGTGCCTGTCAAAATTTCGGACCAAATCGACGAAAAAGATGATAAAAACGAACTCGGCCAGTGATGACAATGGAAGTAAGCCACCATTATGTGGCTCATTTGGCTCTCTTTTCCCGACCCCAGCAGTTCGAAATGTTTTTAAAATCTCTTTTGAACCTGTTTAGAAATGACGTCATTAATTACCTCCATTCGAGAAATCAGGTTTTCAAACCAGAAAAATTAGGCAATCCAACGACCTGTCCAAATGGCGTCTGGTTGGCAAACAATAAACAAAAAACATATGTTTTTTTTTTGGCAGGATTAAGCCTAGTACTCATAACAGCGAAACTCGCTCTTTTTCGGCATTGTTTCGACAATTTGACGTTTTATGCGTGAATCAAACGTCAAATTGTCGCGGTTATGAGTACTAGGCTTTATCAATACACGGAGCGAGTACTCAAATCTGACACTTTTTTGACATCGTTGACATGTAACAACCCGTATTCTAACCTCATAAAAATTTCAAAATGCCGGCTGGTTGGCAAAAATCACGTGGTTTGGATTCCCTAATTTTTGTTTTTTTTTCATGGTAATTAGTTAATTACTAATTAGTCTATCCAAAACACGTGACTTTAACAAGCAAACAAAGGGTTTGTGTGCTTCTTGGCGGACATTTTAATTTAAGTTTGACAGCACCTTGACTAGTAAGCCTATCCAAAACACTGACTTTGACAAGCAAACAAAGGGTTTGTGCGCCTCTTGGCGAACATTTTAATTCACCATATTAGTTAGGTTAGGAAAAATCGGGCGCGAAATTTAAAATGGGTTCCTAAACACATTTCAACAAATTTGACAGCAATGTATTTCTTATGGGGGATTCAAAAGAGTGATTTTCAGACGGGAATATCTTGGGTTCTGGGCATTTCTTAGTATTGGAACCTATTGTACGTCAAACTTTGAACATATTTCTCTATGATTCATGCTCTAATTGTTTTTTTAGACCTATGAATTAAAAATACAAATGATTTTAATTAAATGTGTCTGTTTTCGGTGGACGTACGTCGGGTCTAAAACCAGCTGAGAGAAAGTGAGGTTGTGTGTTGTGTTATGATTGTTGGTGAATTGTTAATTTATTTATTTATCACTAGTTCAGTCATTTATTTTTCAATTTTTTTGAATTATTGAAGTACATTTACTAACCAAGTATGTAGGTGAACTTTTATTTTATTATAATTAGGTACTCATAATATATACTTATGGATCAAGCAACGACATACGTATTTTATACAAACATCGGCTTCTTAAATTGGTAATATTTTTATTTTAACAATGTTTATTCAACTTTCGAACACTCTCTCAGTTAATTAACATATTAAAAAAATTATTTATACAACTCAATTCCGTAACAAACGTTCTATCACGTCTACAGACGCTTTTAAAATTGAGTCCCCATAAGACATCAATGTATTAATTTTTGAACTGGGAACCCGCGCCAATTTGCGATTCTAACCTAACTAATATGATGAATTTAAGTTTGACAGCATCTTGGATAGTCTAATATTTTGCAACGATCTATTTTTATTTTCCAAAAAAATGTAAGAGTGTTCATGATACCATAACCTCCTGCACAAGACACAACACACGTATAAACATAAAAAATAGTCTACTTTCCTATTGCGCATGCGTTTGTTTTTGAACCGATGCGAAATCTCGTCTCAAAATATTTTCAAACAGTTTTGTTATCACGTCATTAGTTTAACGCGAAATAGGTTCAACGCTTAACCAATTTAAGCGAGAAAATAAAAAACACCTTTGAGCTTAGCTTTCAAAATAAATCACAGATGTCAATAACTACCAAGGGTGATACACACTACTAAGAAATGCTTATTGGTCTCATTTTTGGTAGCCGCCGCCATATTGGTGTTCCACTATTGCTGACGTCATTAACTAATTCGTCAGCAATACCAGCTGTTTGCTCCAGCGGTCGTAGTTTAGAGTGGTTTAGAGGCGGAATCATAACCTGTGGTGCAAACAGCCTACGTCAAGGCGAGAACATGTGGCTACGTCACAACTGGTGATTTGGCGTGGTGGGGGGCTCCAGATTTGTTCCAAACAGGACAGGTTTTGGCTGGATTGTGAAAACTGAAAATTGTGCATATTATATGACGATTGTGCGTATGGTGCATATTGAGATTAGATGTGCATAATATGCACAATTGTGCACCTTGGAACATCCCTGTACGTAAAGTAAGTCACTTTACACACTAGGGTCACTAGGCAATTTTTCGTGGAGATAACCAAGCATACTCGAGTATGCTAGATTATGTGACATGTCAATTGTGTCATACTTCCCTAACACACCCATCGTCAAATTCAGGGATACTCGAGGATCAAGAACACTTTACTTCTCCTGTGAGAACAGACTAAAAATCACCTTTTCTACTTTTAGAATTGACGAAAAAATTAACTCACTAGCACAGCCTGAATCGTAAGCATTCCATCGTGGTATGCGGGTGACGTCATCACTATAAGCTGCTGGTAGTGACGTCACTCGCAGGCCCAGAATTGAATGTAGAGGGAGTTAGAGGAGTATGACACAGTTGACACATCACATAATCCAGCATAATCAATGTATGCTTGATTATCCGCGCGCAAAATAGCCTACTAGTGCATGAAGTAATGTCACTGATAGATGTCGACACTGTAATTTTTTTCTAGTAAATTACTTTACGCACTTGTGCTTGAAGTATTTGTCTAAATTTATTTTTTTACACATATTTTATTGGTAGTAGAAAATTGTTTGTATATTATGCAATACGTGTCTAAAGTAAACCTTTTTTCACAAATGTGAATTTTGTCGCACTCGCCTTTCACACTCTCGATAGCTATTTCGGCGAAGTCCGGATTCCTTGACTCCTTTGTCCTGAATTCCGAAAAACCTTTATGGAAACCCTATTATTGACACCAAAGTAGCATGCAATGTACGACTTGCTGAGAAAGCAAGAAGCATGCTATTATTTTCGAACCTAGAAAAATATGCCTGGTTTCACACCGGAATGATTGGAACATGTATATTTTAATAGTTTGCGACGTACTTGCAAGACGCACAACATTGTTTATTTTTGACTTGTTTCGTAGAGGAGTGTCGATAAAGGTAGCATTGTGCGACTTTGGTATGAATTATGAATGTAAACATGGAAAACGCAAATTGCAACGTGCTCCCTGCTTTTTAACAGCAAGTCGCACGTCGCATGCTACTTTCGTATAAATGCCCACCTATGGAAAAGGAATAAAAAGAAAATAATAACATAAATAAGTAAGGATATGAGCAGAAAATTTCAAAAAAACAATGATAGTGAGCTGGCAACGTTGCATAAGTAACGCCAACCTTCGAAGAACCCGAGAGTTTACCAGCCCTTGGTTTAAAAAGAGTTAGAGTTAGCCCAGGGTCAGCAAACTCTGCGAGTTATCCCTTGATTGATAAACCGGCCCTTACTATTTCAAATGGAACAAGGGGTCGAGTGATACCTATTTTAAAACAACGTTCAATTCTCTTTAATTTGATGTCATTTGAAAGAAAATTGAACACTTTTCTAAAACAGATATTACTCGACCCCCTGTTTCATTTGGAATGGTAAGGGTTGGTCCCACCCCCTCTAGAGGGTTAAGTTAGTGCTGAAAATTTTTCAAACATTCACACAATCAAATTACGTGTAAAGTGTGTTTTTTATTTAAAGATAATTCCCCAAGTCAAAAATCTAGTAAGTATGTTGGCAACACAAGCCTTTTCTACATAAAAAAATTGAAAGCATTGACAATTTTAGATTGTATTGCCAACATAATGTCATTTTGACTTTTATCTTTAAAAAAAAACAGACTTTACGACCCACTTTTTAAAAAATAGAAGTGGCATCAGATATTTAGCCTGTTTCGTTTTAAATGGTATACTCTGTATATATATTATGTACAGGGTTATTGGTTATAAATGTCACCCCCCTCTATCTTTTTTATTTGACATTTTAGAAAAAAGTGTCCCAAATAAAAGTTTTATGGTTGAAATTAAATTTTTTGAAAAACTCACTTTCGCATATACAGGGTGTTTTAGAAAAGCTGGTCGCGCTCCAACTTTCTTATTTTAAATGGAATACCCTGTATATTATTGAATATTCGGATTCTACATAAAATTTTGAGCAGATTTCATGTGATATACCCTATACCTAAGTTCACCGGTTTTGGAAATATTGATGGTTGAAAATTGACTTTTTGCAACTTTGACAGGCTGTAAAACCTAAACGGTTAATTTTAGAGGAAAACCGATCTTATGTTTTTATCTTGGATTTTCATAAACTATCAGTTGACACTGATATTTGACATACCAACTTTGAATTTAATCCATGATTAAAAATTCAAATTAAATTTAATCTCCGGTTAAATTCAAAGTTGGTGTCAAATCATAGCTTATGAAAATCTAAGAAAAAAATGTAAGTTCGGTTTTGCTCTCTAAGATTAACCGTTTAGGTTTCACAGCCTGTCAAAGTTGCAAAAAAGTCAATTTTCAACTGTCAATATTTCCAAAATAGTTGAACTTAGGTATAGGGTATATCACATGAAATCTTCACAGAATTTTACGTAGAATCCGAATATTCAATAATATACAGGGTGTTCCATTTAAAATAAGAAAGTTGGAGCACGACCAGCATTTCTGAAACACCCTGTATATGTGAAAGGGAGTTTTTCAAAAAATTTAATTTCAACCATAAAACTTTTATTTGGGACACTTTTTTCTAAAATGTCAAATAAAAAAGATAGAGGGGGGTGACATTTATAACCAATAACCCTGTACTTTCAAAAATTATCAAAGCTATTTATTACTTCACTATCCCATTTTCTTACAAAATTCTACATTTTTACTCCTCTACAATTTGACTTTTTCCATTCGACTCTTGTTTTCACACGTTGTCTTTTTGCCACAAGAAAAAATAAATCCTAAACCTTTAAATAAAAATTTCATTTGTTGCTAGTAATATTCGTTATCGCTAGTGTGGGTGGAACCTTCACTTTTAAAGTCGCTCAAACCCGATATATTCGACATTGACAGTTTAAGGGCCAGTTCCATTGCGTTCGCTTGATCTATCGACGTTCCTGAAGCTGAAATAAATTAACAATGAAAAAAAAAATTCAAAATAAATTTATTTTTTAGAAAATAACAGTTTAGGATAGGGTACAGGAGATTTCAGGCTTTTTGACTTTCTTTTTCAAATTCAATAAAGTTTCACTGACAGTTGAATTTTCAATATCTATGCTAGATTTTTTTTGACCAGTAATTTTGTTATTTTCATCAATATTTTCAATTATATCACTAATAATTGAATAAATTATTAAATCATCATTATTTTCAAGTTTCTGTATGGGAACACGAGTACTATTGAAACTTTCTTCAACAACATCTAGACAATATTTGATCGATTGTTCAACTTCGATTTTCAATAATGTATCATAATAATTATTGCTCATTTCCATTAAATTATCGCCTTCACAAATGAAATCTTCAGTTTGACAAGCTTTAGTCATTACATTACTTCCCTTAGGTTTTTCGACTTTTTCCCTAACACCATAATCTCTACATCTTTTTCTTGCAAAAAGTACAATAGTGTCATCACTAGTGTATTTTTTATGACCAGGAAGTGTAACTGTTAACTTCTCTTGTTTGTACAATTTCTTACGTTTTATATCTTTGGGTGCAATAAATTCTTTTGGTAAATCGTCTTGATTTGATTCATTTTCAATTTCGCTTGAACTTTGATGTGTGCTACGAGAAAAAGTGCATTTTCTCATATTTTCTGCAGAGGATTTTTGACTAACACTTGCAGTGGCGTCCGAAAGTAATTTGAGAAAAAAATTATGCAATTCGTCCAAGCTGGATTTTTGTTTACATAATTTTCTAAAATCTTCGTTAGACAAATTGCCATCTTGGCATTTTTTAAGTGCCAAATTTCGTTTTTTCTTCCTCTGGCAATTCAAACATAGTTTCTGTATTTTTTGACAACTCGCACAAGAAACATTAAAATGTTTTCTGGGTTTAAGTACATTCATTTGACTTGATGGCAAATGAAAACCTTTCACAACTCTATGAAGATGTTTGCCTGTTTCTATGTCAGGTTTTGGGCACGAGCTTTCATCGTTTGATTCTTTAATAAAACACTCGGTGCTGCAATCAATTTTCAAGACAGCTTTGGGAGATTTCAATTTTTGAGGGTTCAAAAAAGCTTTTTCTAATTCAAAAAGATCTGGATCGTTAACCAAGACAACTGAAGTTTGAGTTTGGGAGTCTTGAGAGGATTTTTTTGTATTGGAGTGGATCGGAAAAAGGTTAAGTTGAGGAACAGGAGGAGCTGAAATTTAAATAAACTCAACACATCCTTGGCAAAAAAAAAACAATTATTATATACCTACCCTCTGATATGTTCTCCCTGTCAGTAAAATCCGGACGCGTTTGCAAAATAAGAGCCAAACATTGGGCAACGTTAAAGTTTGGGGCACAACTTAGGGCTGGTGTCAACCCTTCGTTGTCCACAGCTGAAACGTTAGCTCCTTTTTTTAGTAATTCTCTTGTTATGTCTACCAAACCGTTACGGGCAGATAAGTGTAGCGAACTAAAATAAAACGGAGAACTTTCAGCATCTGAGAAGTATATTTTTCTTAAGCTTAACAGTAAAACACTCCTTAAACCATGTGAATAATGAAATAATACTTACGTCTTTTTCTCATTATTCGGAATATTAACTATTTTGGCATTTTGACAGTTCTCTAATATTAATAAGGCAGTCTGATGATGCTTCTTAAGGCACGCCCAGTGTAAGGCAGTGTTGCCGTCTTTATCACAGGCCGATAAGTCTATATTAAAGCCTAAAAGTAATTCTGAAAATAGTAAAAGAATATAATTATTGAAGAATAAAAAGAAATATTAGATTTAGGTAACTAGTTGTGAAAAGTCTAATTTTGGAATTTTTTACCGATGAGTTCCACATATTTATTCGTCAATTTCTGAATTTTTTTGGTTTTGTTTCACAGGTTCTATTGTGTGGAAAAAAAAAACTGGGACAGCAAATGTAGTTTTATTTCTCAGACTATATGCTTCTCTTTATCAGTTTGATTCTTTATATGTATTATAAGGGGTGTTCAAATGTGACCTCTTATTTAATTTAATAGTAATCGAATAACATTTCGAAGAAGCAGAGGGGGGCGGTCACTTGCCATGTATCGTTTTTCATGATTAACTACAACATTATTTTGAATTCAGAGATGAAACAATAAAATTATAATAATTCAAGGCCTTCCTGTGTTTTCCTATTAAATTGAATGAGAAGGTTAAATTTGGACGTTATACAATATGTCCAAGATAAGGAGGGCCAGTATGAGGATTTGGGAAACGGTAAAAGATACGACGTCGCTTAAATTTGAAAAAAGTTGTGCAATTTTGTGTTCATTAAAATGGCGCTTTGATATTTTGAAAATTCCTAGTGCTACCGGAGGCATCAGAACATTTTGCCACCCAATCTAGCCATAGCCCGGAAACCTGTCCAATCAAACTCGATGTGGCTATTTTGGGTGGCATAATGTTACTCATGCACTGCATCAGGAGTCAGAAAGTCGGGAGGATGATGGCGCTTTTTAAAGGGTCAGAATGTTATTGCATGGGCTAGATTCAGGGTCAGAATGTTACAGGCATAGATAGAGCATTAGTGTTTTTTAACAAACAATGTTTGATGTTAGAAAATCTATAACTGTCTTTTGTACGTGTTATACAATTCAGAAATTTAGATTTTATTTGTGTTCCCTCTGGATTTTTTTCATGAATATATTGATTAAATTGTTAGTTTTTTGATTGAAACGGAGGAATTAAGAAATATATCCATTTTAGATATAAGGGGTCAATAAATTTAGATTTTGCAGAATCTGAATATCTAATAATTAAAAATTTAAGTTCTAAATTTTGAAAGAATAGGTACACGTTTTCGAACAATTTCCTTCGAGCTGTATTTAAAAAAGTTTCCCATGCATTTTTCGTTTTAATTGAACTAAGTTTTGACACAAATCTTCTAGAACTTTGGGCAGTAGTGCCAAATCGTGTATGATTTTTCTACATCAATTTGATAAGTGAGGCAAAAAAATATTCACTAGTGTTTTCCTCTTGTTGAAGGTCGCTGAATGGTTGGCGATTTTCAAGGAGTCCCAGTGGAAGAAAGTCTCAAGTTTGAGCAGCATATTGCTGCACTCTCTGGAAGGTTATCGTCTAGCTGGAGTGCGTTCAACGACGGCAATGCTAATGCTAAAACCTACTTTTCCCCTTCTACTGGCGATGCCAAATAGGGTGTGAATTTGTTGGAACGCCAAATAAAATCTGTTTTTTTTTAAAGATAAAAGTCAAAATGACATTATGTTGGCAATACAATGTAAAATTGTCAATGCTTTCAAAATTTTATGCAGAAAAGGCTTGTTACTAAATTTTTGACTTGGGGAATTATCTTTAAAAAAAAAAAACACACTTTACCGTTTCTCAATTCTCATGACACTTGCCATCAAAATTAACCCATTTTGTCCTTGGCTTGTTTATGCTTATTTTTCAATTTTCGTAAAAATTTAAAAATTCTTAAATTTATTATTTTCAGATCGTCAGCGTTAGTATTATCTATTCACCACTTCCACTTCCGTTCTAGAAGCTCTTTGTTTTGTATTATTTATGATGACAGACCCCACTTATCCAATCAAAGTTCGTATAACCATTTCTAGACTCAGTTGAAAGCACCTCCAAAAGTTACTTTACCGCCGCCGATTTTGAACGGGTAAAGCCAACCGCTTTTCGCACGCTGGAGCCGAACTTGAACGCAATATGCCAATTTTGGCTTGGCTTTAGCCGTTTTTGAACGCAGCCCTGTTATGCCTTGAGAGTACTCTCAGAGCAGTTGGAGTTGCGAGCTCCAGGACCGCATATTTTTCTCTGGTGGAATCACATACTCGATCACACATTACTTATGGTATTGTATTGCATTTTGGGGCTGCTGCAGTACTGCAAATTTCAACTACATATTTATTTTGCAAAAAAGAGCCCTTAGGTTCATGCTTAGAATTCCCTTCCGACAATCTTGCAAACCCAGCTTTATTTCCCATAAAATTTTAACTGTGCTATGTTTATACCAATGACATCAAAACACAGATAGACCGAACAATAAACAAACTTTTCGTATGACAACATCTCTCTGTCTCTTTTGGGTCTTTGTGCTATCCCCACCACTGAGAATGCCAAATTTTGTCTTGAATCCCTAAATAATATATTTTTCTCCTCTAATTAACATTTTCAATTTTATTTCTGAACTCAATTTGGCAACAGCAGATTATAGCAAAACACCGCCCAGAAGCGGCTTGTTGAATGGCATGCAGGTGTTGATTGTAGTAGCTAGCTATCTTTATTGCAAACAAGGGTTATTCATTAGCGTTAAACAAGAATCGACTAACACGATATTGGTACTCCCAGAATAAAGGGCTCGTATCGAATATTTTCAGTTTATTTGTCAATTTGTTATTTTATTTATTCATCCAATTAAATTTCGAGATATATTCACGTGTGGGCGGGGTTTTTTTACACCATTTTGAGCAATGATGTCTCCCTACCCCGACCCCGCGAGCAACTCACCTCCCCTGGCCCATGGGTGGTCTTGTCAACACAACAAATAATAGTTTATGAATGGGATGATCCGTCTATCTGTGTTTTGATGTCATTGGTTTATACATACTCGAAAGTGTTTGCCTGGTCTATAGGAAATACTATGATCAACTTTCTTCGGAGAGGCACTATTTCAATTGATGATGATTCCAGAGGAACAAAACGTTGGATTTCAAATTTAATACTGCCATCTTGTAAAGAAAAGAAAGTGACAATGGGAATGTGAAATTAGCTTTTCAGAATCATTTTAAATGAAATCAGGAAAAAATTTAAGAAAAACGTGAAATTCATGTTTTTTTCGTATAGTTTTAATTTTTTCCTGATTTTATTTAAAAAGATTGTGAAAAACTAATTTCACCTTGCCATTATCACTTTTTCTTCTCTACAAGATGTCGGTATTAAATTTAAAATACAACGTTTCGTTCCTCTGAAATCATTTTTTTTTTTTTAAATATGGACCTGGTTTTTTTGCTGTGTTATTGAAAAATTATAAACAGTATCGGTTTTAGGATGCGCAAAGATGACAAAATCGCAAATAAAAAATTCAGATCCGTATTTAAAAAAGGGAAGTTGAGGATGGCCGCCTGAAGACGAAACGTCGAATTTTAAATTCAATAGCACCATCTTCTAAAGGGGAAAAAGTGATAATGATGAAGTGACATTTATTTTAAAATTGCTTTTCAAATAAGCCCGGTGTTCCGGTTAGTAGGTATTTAATGAAAAAGAAAATCAAGAGCTGGAGAAGAAAAAACAAAACAGAAGTAACCAAGCAAATAAAAAACAAGTAGACGTCACCTTTTTGAAAAAATAGAAAAAGTTTGAAACACGTTTGTCAATTTGCTCGCTGCCACGCATTTTTTTATATTATTTTTTTTTAATAAAACATTTAAGAAGCTCGTCTGCAGTCCACTGTTTTCCCTGAGCACAGGGTGGTCCTTCGCCACTTGAAATACACGCTCAAACAAAAGATTGGTCCCAACGAACCGGATATTGAATTGACCAGTGAAGAAACGCGCAGGAAGAAAAATAAGTACAAGTCTCGTGAGTCCATTCCAAGTTATTGTCATACGCTCCACACGCTACAACATACATTTTAAAAGCACTAGGTCATGAGCGCGCTTCGCGCGCTTTTTTTTTAAATCAAGTCCATCAAAATAATTATAAAATGGAAAATATTTATTAGGTGTTGTACAAAAAACAGCATAATTTTTGATTTAAATGTACGTTGTACGTGGCATTCGGCACAAATGTGTTTGTGCGATACAAATTTAGGCGAGTGTGGACCAGGGCCGGTATTCTCGTTCTCGAAAACGCTCACCGTTTTTCAGTCGCTCGGCACTTTCAATGTAAATTTGCATTTAAAGTGCCGAGCGACTAGAAAGCGGTGAGCGTTTTTGAGAACCAGAATACCGGCCCTGTTCGCAGCATACGGACGCACGCAAAAATTTTCGCGGCATTCAACGCACGCGATCCGCGGATTGTCGTTTTTTTTCAAAACATCAAAGAGATTTACGGCGCAACATGTTCTGGTGTGGACGTATTTTTTCGCGAACGCATCGATTTTGACAAATTGTGAATCCGTGATTACTGTCTTCTGATGGATGGATAATACTGCAAGAAAATGTGTTGCTTTCATAGTTATGTGCCTTATTCTCATTAGGAAAAAGGAAGAGAAAAAAAGAAACAAATCCATCAGGTCTATTGGACTAAGTATCTGTATCAGCATAAGAAAAACTCTGATGGTAGCACATTATTGAATATTCTATCTATGGATGAAAGTACAGGGCATTTGAAAAAAAAATTGCGTATGTCTTCAAATAATTTTGAATTTTTGATACACAAGATTGGGCCCAAAATTGCCAGAATGGATACAATAAGCTTAGGAAAGCCATACACCACCGCCACACGACGTTGAGCAAGAACGCACGGCGCACAACACAAATATTTATGTGGTTCAAGATACCAAATTTGCGCCAAAAAAATGTGTGGCGAATCCCGAATTCAACACAACGCATTTATTTACTAATCTGGACGCGGCTTTATACATTAAATGTAACAGTAGTGAGATAAGTTGTATAGATGTTATTTTAGTGAAGAAATTTCAAATGCGATGGATGGAGTTGGTGACTAATTATTTTTGTATGGTATATCATAATGATTTTAAATCGATCACATTTCTTGAATGTACGGTGTGCGT